ATTTGTGTTTCTTTTGGTGCTGGGGATCAAACTCAGGACCTTGTGCTTGCGAGGCAGGTGCAGCACCACTGAGCTAAATCCCCAGCCCATTTTCAGATCAGCATTCAACAAATACCACTGGAGATCCTCCGTCTGCCAGCTGTTGACTAAAGAGGGCCCTTTGGCTAGTGTGGGGGTGCACAACCATCAAATAATCAGGCAGCCTACCCGGGAGAGCTCCCCTGCTGAAAGCTGAGGAGTAAGGGAAGGGGGTGTGGGGAGGGGGAGGCTGGGGGTCGGTTCATTACCCCCCTTTTTATTAGGGGTAGTGTAGCGAAGTCTGGCTAGTGTAGTGTCTCGGAGACTCTGCTCCCTGTTTTGTTTTTATCTTTTCAAGTTAAGTGGGGGGAGGGGGAATCAACTACCTTAACAAAGAGGTCCGTGGCAGGGCTGGAATAGGAAACCTGCAAAATGGCTATGTCCTCACTGTGACTTTGAACGAGAGTTAACAACATCCTTGAACCCCCACATCTTCATCTGTGTAGCAGCCTGCATTCCTACCCTGACGTCTTGCCCTGACCTCTGAAGGGCATGAGGCCCAGTGTGCTGAACTGGACCTGGGTATGAGGGTGGGCGGCAGGGCTCCTCTCCTTGAGCCAGCTCTGAGGGTGTGTCTTCACCCCTCACTTTGCTGTAAGCCAGTAGCCTGCCAGCAAGAGCTGACTACATTTCGGCAAACTCCCCTCCCCTGCTCTCCCCAAGAAGGAATATGACACCCTGTATTTTACAGTAATATGACACTTTACACATGTGACAACGCTTAGCCTTTGCAGCAACCCTGCCATAGGGACCACCTTCTCACTGGCTAAGAGACACTGGGGCTCCGGTGGACACTGCCTAAGGACAGGGTCACATAGTCAGTGGAATGGGCGGGACTTGAGTTTTGCCAGCTCCTCAAACCCTTGCTGAAGCTAAATCTGCTGTCTGCCCAGGAGCCAGGAAAAGTGGATCCCTGTGGCCAGGCACGAGGGCACCCTGGCAGGCAGAGATGTTGGCTGCTCTTCAATCCAATATTCATTAAATATTTGTTCAACACTTATCTGGCATGGAAGGTGTTGGAAGAAACAAGTTTGCAATGAATTTAAATGGCAGGCTCCTCTGGATTCTGAATTCCACCCTGCACAACAGCACTTTGCGTAAGCAGAAGGGCCCTAAATTCACTGACAAAGTCACTTTCCCAGCTGCAGCGAGTTAACGTCCTGGACAAACACTAGCCATTGCCCGCTTTCCTGTACTTCTCTTTTTTTCTTTGGTTTGCGGTTGAACTTTTCCAAGCCAGACAGTTTCTGGGGAGGCTCATTAGAAGATTTATTCTGGTTCTGTTTTAATTTGAAATTTATTTAAATAATGATGAGAACAACTTGTCTTAGACCACTCTGCCTGTCTTATTTATTTATTTATTTACTTTTGACTGAGAAGCTTGGACTATAAATAGTTGGCATCCTTGAACCTGGCACCTTTTATTAATTAAGTACCGAAAGCATGGTTGTACTTATATAAAAGCAACAGTGCATTTTTGGAGAGTGTCTGCGAAGCACCAGCTTTATTTAATTAAATAATGTTTTGTCTGCTTACAATAATGTATATTCTCATTGTAGGAACTCAAAGATGCAGAGAGGTAGAAAGAATAAACTGATCATTCCTCCCCAATCTCCTTGCATAGATTTTACGACTATGTCCATGTAAACATAGTTATGTTTTTAACTAGCGGTAAAATATACATAACATCAAATTTGCCATTTTAATCCTTCAGTGTACAACTCAGCAGCATTAAGTATAGTCACAACATTGCTTATCCACCAACACCGTCTATTTCTAGAATTTTCCCATCATCTCAAAGAAAAACGCCATACCCATTAAGCGATTATTTCCTATCCCCCTTTCCCCCAGTACTTGGTACCTAATGTTCTCCTTTCTGATTTTGTCAATTTGACTACTCTACCCACTTCATATAGGCGAAATCGTACAGCACGATAATTTCAAGGTTGATCTGTGTTGTAGCATGTACCACAACTTCCTTCTTTTATAAGGCTGAACAACATTCCATTGTGTGTATACATCACGTTGTGTTTATCTATTTATCCATGGACATTTGAGTTGGTTTTCTCTTTTTAGCTTCTGTGAATAATACTGATTAAACATGGGTACATAAACATCTCCAAGTCCCTGCTTTCAATTCTTTTGAGTATATAACTAGAAGTAGGATTATTGGATTTTATGATACTTCTATAATTTTTTGAGGAGCTCCCATATTTGTCCAGTATTTTTGATATATCAAGTCGATATTTGAAATCTCTATATAATTTAATATCTGACGTTCTCATTTAATTTCTCACTTGATTGACTGTTCTTCAAAATTGTTGTGCAGTAATGTTGCATAATATTCCACTGCACTGCTAGCTCACATTTCCCCTGCTCTCCTCACTGATTTTTAAACCAGAGGTTGTACATTGTGGGAATAAAATAAATAAGTCGCTCCTGACAAATTACCACACACTATATACATATTTGCTGGAGAAATGCAATCAAAGATAGGTTGCTTCCTTTAAGGAGTTCTTTCCATTTCTTCTCAGAAATTGTTGGAGATTATCCAATTCGGTGGCTTTAAAAGTTCTTTTTAGCTGAGTGCCATGTTGCATGACTGTAATGCCAACTACTTCGGAGGCTGAGGCAGGAGGATTGCAAGTTTTTGAGCTCAGCCTGGGCAACTCAGGGAGAACCTGAGTCTTTCTTTGTGCCATGGAGCATAATCAAGGTGAGTAGTGAGTCACCCTGGCTCCTTGAAAGAGGAGCACATCCCCCACTAACCCCAAAGAGCAAACATTTGCTGGATGTGGTAACGCCCACCTGTAATCCCAGCTACTTGGGAGACTGAAGCAGGAGTGCAGTCTGAGAAAGTTAGCAAGATCTTGTCACAAAATAAAATTTAAAAAGGGTTGAAGATGTAACACAGCAGTGAGCACTTGCTCCATGGCACGAAGAAAGAGAGCCCTGGAAGGTCTGATGAGCAGTTAAGTGCTTAGGCCCTCTGCCTTGTTATTGCCACATGGTCCTATCTGACCAGCCCCAAGGGGGCCAGGAAATGAAATCCCATCATGCAGGTGGACAGCTAGAAATACCTGGTCAAACAGCACTAAAAAGTAGCTCGGTTGAATCAGGCATGATGGCACATACCTGTAATTGTGGTACTCTGGGAGGCTGAGGCAGGAGGATCACAAGTTCAAGGCCAGGCTGGGCAATTTAGGGACTTAGTAAAACCCATTTAAAAAAAAAAAAAAAAAGCCCTGGGTTCAATCTGCAGTAATGCAAAAAAACACAAATTTCCCAGGTTGGTGGTTCTCTTTCGTGCCTAACTTGCTGATGTCAGCTCAGCCAGCAGGGGCACAGGCCTGGGTCCCACACACAGAGCAGCCTGTGGGCTTTCCATTGTGAGCACTAGGAAACCGCACCCACAGAACAAAAACCCCAAAGCCGACTCTCAGCTACGAGGGAGTGCCAAGCAGAGGAACCAGAAGGTGCTCGTGGCTTCTGGCATCTCCGGGAAATAAAAGGCAGAGACCCAGTGAAGAAAGAAGTAGAGCAGATGGTACCTGCTAAGAACTCCTGGCTCCTTGAGGGGGTTCTAGGCCCTTGGGAGGAGGCAGGGTGTGCTTCGAAGGGCTGGCCAGCCTGGTCTCTGTCCTGTGAGTGAGGCTGTCCTAGGTGTCCTTGCTGTCTGTGGGCTGTTTTACCATTGCTTGAGTGCAGGTGTGCTTTCTGGATGTAATGTGTCACTCACCCTCGGTCCACGTCTCACTGTTCCCAGGGATGTCCTCTACCCTCACCAGGAAGCCCCCCGTGGCTTCCCAGGGCCATCCAGGAGCAGTGGGGGGAAGGAAAGACAGCGATATGGCAACTCTGGCAGGGGCTCTAGGGCCATCTTCGGCAGGGATGAGGAAGCTCAGGACAAGATGCCTGGCAACAGCCCCCAGCCCCTTCCCTGAGCTCAGCCATTTCCTTTGCTGTGGTCAAGAGGCACTTTGGCTCCGAGAGACGTTGGACACCAGGGTTCTCATCCCACCCAGCTTTCTCACTTTGTTGCTAAGCAGCCCTGGAAAAGTCATTTCCCTTTCTTGGTGCCTTCGTTTCCTCATCTGTAAAATGGTGCAGCCCAGAAGATGGGCATATGCTGGAGAGGAGAATGACCCCAGATAGTGGCATATGAGATGCCACTCAGAGTCCTCCAGAAGCCCAAAGAGCTTAGAGTGAAGGGTGTCCGGATGTGGTGGTGATGTCACAGGCACTCGCCTTCATTGAAGAACATGTTTGGTAACACGATGGTAGGATTCCAGGCCCAGCTTTCCTGTAGATGGGGAGCCCACGAGACAGAAGCCATATCACTGCAGACCCAGCAGCCCAAATAGTACCTGGCATGCAGCAGCTGCTAATATTGATGCTAAATAAATATGTATCTAGTGAATGACCAAGTGAACATAACTTCCTCTGACTTTGGATCGATAGCTGGAGGACTCCTTATGGAGGATGAGAAGGTTGGGAAGAGTCCTTGACTAAAGCCAGCTTCCAGTCCCAGCTGAGTGGGCTTAGGGAAGTCATCAGCCCCTTGTTGTCAACTGCCCTCCTTGCACGGTGCAGAGAGCAGCAGGCCCTGTCTCACTGGCTATGCAGGAGGCTCCAGTGGGACGTGCAATTCTAAACCTCCTGGGAACTGTCCAGCCCCCTGTCCAGCCCCCTGCCAGGGGAAGACTGGCTGCTTTTAGGACACAGGCATGTGGTAGGCTCTTTGCACAGAGCACGTGGTGCCAGGGCCTGTGAGATGGAGCCTTCTGGAATAATCATCGCAAGGAATTGAATATCTATTATTTATTGGGCACTTGCTGATTCCAGGCCCTATGCCAAGGACTTTATGGGCACTATCTCATTTACTATGGTCTAAGACACATTGTTATTCTCATTTTGCCTAGGAGAGAAACCAAGTCTCAGAAGGTCATGCCTTTCATCAACACCTGGGTCCCTCCTGCTCAGAGAGAGGCAGCCTCTGTCTCCCGGCCTAGGAGGAGGTAGGAACTATGCTGTTCCATAGTTCACCAGGGGTGAGAATGCACGTTGCTAAGTTGCCTTTTCCTAAGTACCTCTGGGTACCAGGAACTTTACAGATATGACTGTTGATCTTTTTGACAACTCCAAGAGTAAGGTTTTGTTTTGTTTTTTGAATAAGGGTTCTTGCTAAGTTGCCACAGATGGCCTCCAACTCCTGGGCTTAAGCTATCTTCCTGCCTCTGCCTCCTGAAGAGCTAGAACTATAAGTACATGGCTTAAGGAACTGCTTTTTGGGTTTTTGTTTGTTTTGTTTATTTTTTAAATTTTTTTTTGTACTAGGGATCGAACTCGGGACCTTGCGCTTGCAAGGCAGGTGGTGGAACCACTGAGCTAAATTGTAGGCCCGTTTTGTTTATTTTTTATTTGATTTGATTTTTTTGTACTTTCAGTGCTGGGGATCAAATCTACAGCCTCATGCACACTAGGCAAATACTCTACCACTGAGCTATACCCACATCCAAGAGTAAGGAATTACCATCCATTATAGATGAGTAAAGTGAGACTCAGGGAGGGTAAAACAATTTCGCCCAGGGTCACAAAACAAAAAGCTAGATATTCTAGGATTTGAACCCAGGGCTGTCCCATACTAAGAACAGATAGAGAAAAAGCATGCGGTGGCCTGAATTAAGAATTATTTTCCTTGTATGTTTGTTTGTAGGTTGGTTTTGTTTCTTTTGTTTCTATTATTGTTTTGTTTCTTTGGGACAGGGTCTTAATGACGTGTAGTTCAGGCTGGCCTTAAACTCACTTTGTAGCCCAGGCTGGCCTTGAATGCAAGGTGATCCTCCTGCCTCAGCCTCCTGAGTGCTGGGATTATAGGCATGTGCCATCATGCCTGGCCTAGGTTGCTTTGTTTTGTTTTGGCTCCCTGCTAGGTTTCCTGGAATCTCTTCATTAGAGATTAATTCCTGAAAGACCTTTATTCTTGAGTCAATTTATTATGAGATCCAGGAAAATCTAATAGCAGGAAAAACAAACATAAGCCAAAACAGCTTCAGGATTTTCCAGTAAATTGTTAGGCGTTGAATTCCCTGGACTATAAAGAAACTTCCTTTGTGTTTATCTCCCTTTCTGAGCAATAAATCAGGCAGGAACTAATTTAGAGAGGCTGCAAGAGAGATAAGCCAGAAACTCTCATGCAGCTGCCTAGCAGGGAGCTTGGGAGGCTGTAGGAGGGAGCCTGGAAGGGGCAGGCCACGCTGAGCCCACTCAGCCACAGGGCCTGGCCTTGGAAGGACAAATAGGGGCTGGGAGGGCATCCCCAGAGACTGGGCTTGCACCATCTATTAGGAGCCACAGGGAGGACTCTGGTTGTCCAAGATGCATATCCCAAGGGACCACCCAGGCTTCTGAACTGAAAGGGTGCTTGAAGAAGACTTTATTGAACTCTGTTTTATTGGTTCCTATTGACATGGGATGACCCTGTGATTTATTTGCCAGGCCAGCACCCTTTTGAGAATAAAAGGGAATAAAATAGACTGTCACCTGAGGCATAGTGGGAATGAACCAGAACCTTTGGATTCCCCGAGCCCCACTGCCACATCTGTGAAGTGAGGGAAGAAACTTCCAGCACCGTGAAGGGTGAATGTGACAGGCCAGGCACAAAAGGCAAACAGAGGAGGAACCAAACCAAAAGCAAACCACAGGCTATGGGCCCTGAATAGAGAGGGGCAGGGACTTCATACAGCAACGTCTGTGAAGCCCTGAGATGTGCCCAGCCAGCCTGGGCAGGGGCTGAGGTCTGCAGGTGCATTGGCACCTGTGTTTTCCCTTCGCCAGCTGGACTGGAAGGAAACAGGCAGAGATTGGGTCTGATTCAGTTCTGGGCACGGCCCACCCTGAGGCACTGTCTCTAGTGCTGAGGAAATCCCTCCAGATGTCTGTGAATGGAATCGGTGCTCGTGGGCAAGGTGCTCCTGGGGTGAGCCAGGGACGGAGTTGTGCCTGGAGAAGAGTCAGGGCGCCCTGTCTCCTAGGAGCTGCTCTGTTTAATGGGTAGGGCGACAACCCCCATGGACAGGTGGAACTATCGACTCTGACCTGGTCTGTTACTGAACCTCTGAGCCTCAGTCTCTCGGTCTGGGACATGGGGAGGGTATCCAATGACCGAATTATGTGAGACCATGCATGCTAACGAATGGTAGCCTTTATAGTATTAATATCATCCTGGGAGGCCGAGCTCAACCCTACACAGAAAAGACATCCTGACTTAATGGGTCTCTACAGAGTGTTCCAGCCCACAACCTCAGAATACACGTTCTTCTCAGCTGCTCATGGGACTTTCTCCAAAATATTTCTCCAAAATATTACCAGACCATAGTGCAATGAAATTTGAAATCAATGGCAAAAGAAGCCACAAGAACTTCATAAACACATAGAAATTAAATAACACCCTCCTGAATAACCAATGGATCACACATGAAATTAAAGAAGAAATCCGACAGTTTTTACAATTAAATGATAATGACAGTACAACATACCAGAATTTAAGAGACGCAATGAAAGCAGTCCTATGAGGGAAATTTATAGAGTGAATTTCCACATCAGGAAAACAGAGCAGGCTCAAATAAACAACCTAATGGTGAATCTCCAGCTTCTAGAAAAAGAAGAGCAAGTCAAGCGCAAAGCTCATATGAAGGAGGAAGTTATAAAAATCAGAGCAGAAATTAATGCAGTAGAGACTAAGAAAACAATGCAGGGCCGGGGATTTAGCTCAGTGGTTTTGCCGCCTGCTGCGCAAGCGCAAGGACCCAAGTTTGATCCCCGGTACCCCCCCAAAAAAAGAATCAATGAATAGAAGAGTGGGTTCTTTGAAACGTTAAATAAAATCGACAAACCCCTAGCCAATCTTATGGAGAAAAGACTCAAATCTGTGCAATTAGGAATGAAGAGGGTGAAATCACAACAGATTCTGCAGAGATCCAGAAGATCATCAGTACCTACTTTGAGAACCTGTATTCTAATAAGATAGGAAATACAGAAGAAATGGACAGATTCCTAGATACATATGAATTAGCAAACTGAAACAAAAAGATATATAAATTCTAAATAAACCAATATCAGGCAATGAAATTGAATATGTAATTTAAAAATTACCAACAAAGAAAAGCCATGGCACTGATGGATTCACTGCTGAATTCTACAAGAAATTTACCTAATGCTGCTACTCCTCAAAGTCTTTTGGAGCCAGGGATTGAACTCAGGACCTTGAGCTTGTGAAGCAGGCATGGTGCCACTAAGCTAAATCCTTGGTGCTCAAACTCTTTAATGAAATTGAAAAGGAAGCAATATTCCCAGATTCATTCCTGGAAGCAAGTATTACCCTGATTCCAAAACCAGAGAAGGATCGAACTAAAAAGGAGAATTACAGGCCAATCTCCTTAATGAATATAGATGCAAAAATCCTCAATAAGATATGGCAAACAGAAAGGAGCAAATCATCAAGAAGGTTATACACCATGACCAAGTTGGAGTCATCCCAGGGATGCAAGGATGGTTCAACATACACAATCAATAAATGTAAAACACTATAGTAACAGAGTCAAGGACAAAAACTAATGATCCTCTCAATAGATGCAGAAAAAGCATTTGACAAGGTCTAATACCCACTCATGATAAAAACTCTACAGAAAATTGGTATAGATGGTCTTCATCTCAATCTGATAAAAGCTATCTATGACAAACCAATAGCCAACATCATACTAAGCGGACAAAAACTGAAAACTTCTCTCTTCCAGAGGCAAGTGGGGCTTGAGAGAGTCAGATGAGAGGATGGAGGTGGAGAGAAGCTGAGAGTCCAGCCTGGACCCCAGGGCCACTTACCATCCTTTAACTTGTAGCTGGCTGACATCTCAGCAGCACTTGGTGTCTTCTGCTGGCCTTCATGATATCTCTGTGCTGTGTGTGCCCTTAGGTTCCAGGGCAGTGTCCATGAAGGATGCCCTCTTCCCCACTTGGCCTCCACTCCCTTCCCCGTGCACACATTAGACCTACCTGCTCTGGTCAGCTCTGCATGCTGGCAGCTGTCAGTTGGGCTGCAGCCAGGCCTTTTCTCTGTGGGGCTATCTTTGGCAGGATCCTCAAGCTCCACACACCTGGTCCAGAACTCACCACCTCCTCCACTCCCCACCCCTTTAGCTGTTTCCCAGTCAGGAGCAACACTGTCCCCCTTCCTGTTGCAACCAGGAGCCTGGGGATCAGCTGAGAGCAGAGCTTTGTAAACAAGTGGACATCCTGATCATCAGGAGACCTCACTCCCGTGCAGATTCCCAGGCCCAGTCAAGACTTGGTAGTGCTGGTGTGATTTCCAGTGACCTGCATTTCTATCAAGTTACAAGATGACATGGATATTGCTGGGCTGCCCATGGTCCACACTTTGAACAGCACTGGACTTGTTCCTTCCTGTCTCCTTCCCTTCATCCCACTCTTGATTATCATTATTATTGTCATCCCTTATAAAAGTAGAACACATTTATTGAACACAGGTGTTACTGAATGCTTCGGTGCTAAGCCCTATCATAGGTGTGCTTTTTAGCTTACAAATACTTTTGAATTCTGGGTGCTTTCACATTGGTACAAAAGACAAAAATATCTGCCTCAGAAGTATACATTCTGGTAAAGGAAGAAAGAAATTTAAAAGATAAATACTTAAAACACAACAGGAAGTAATTTTAAATTGGGGAAGGCCTGCCAGATGTGGTGGCATATGCCAATAATTCCAGCACTTGGGGGTCTGAGGCAGGAGGATCACCATGAGTTCGAGGCCAGCCGGGGGTACATAGTGAACTACATAGTAAGACCCTATCTCAAAAACAAAAAAAAAGCAAAAGTTAGGGAATGCCTTACCCAGAAGGTGACATTTAGGCAAAATTTGAAAGAGAATTTATTTTACGTAGCCAAAGATCACAGAGTGCTACTTCCTCAAGCCACTGCTGCTTCCTCATCTCCCAGGTCCAGGTCT